CTCACGTGCCACCGATGATGGCAACGACGACGCTCAACTGATCTCTCAACGCGGGGAGGAAGCTCGTCAACTGGCAAAAATCAAGATTCAAGAGCAACAGCGAGTCGACGCACGCCGGTATAACCTTCGTCGCCGGGACGTCCACTTTCAACCCGGAGACCGGGTGTGGGTGTGGACACCGATCCGCCGCCGAATATCAGCGAGAAACTACTGAAGCGCTACTTTGGACCCTACAAAGTGCTTCGTCGACTCGGGGATCTGAACTACGAGGTGATGCCCGATGGAACACGGACTTCATCACGCCGCCCTCCACGACCAGAAGTCGTCCACGTCGTGCGCATGAAGCCGTACTACGCTCGATAGGAATGTGGACCTTATGTGTTCCAAATGACTCTTTAGTTTACCGTTATTTCTGTTTGCTTTGTTTTCGGTTTGTGCTGCATCGGGACGATGCGCTTTTAAAGGGGGGGGGGGGGGGGGATAATGCCACGGGCAGACTTGCAGAAGGTTCTTGTTCATTCTTGCTGCGAACATAACTTCTATCTTTTATCCCTGCTTTTGTTGCTGTAGAAAGTGCGTGTCCATTCTCGCCCCAAGCGCGCTACGCTGGAACCTTCCCCGCCGAATCTTCGAGATAGTGACTCACTCTAGATAAAAGGCCGCCCGCGACCTTGTCGAGTCAGTCTCGCTCCTGCGCTCGATCCCGCGGTTTCGCCGACATCGACGCCCGCGACGCTCTGCTGTTTTCTTTTGTACCCTTTTATTTTTGGCACAAGTTCGCCCCCATTAAACGTTTAGTTTACTTCAGTTTTCGTCGCCTCATCACTTGTCATCCGTGACAATAGCAAGTTACTTAGCGTGCCATGCCACGGCGGATAGTGGCATGGCACGCTGACTTCGTATTTGAGCCAGTTCTCTTTTTTATTTTAATATTAATAAACTATTTTAAACAATGCATACATTTATTGAACTTCCGCTTGTTTTGGGCGTCTTCACGAAGGTCACGTCGCTTTTTTAGGTTTGATTGGGGACGACCATTTGCTTTTTCGCTCGGCCGCATCTGGCCACCCTGCTTTACGCTCATAACTTGACGTCCACCGGGGTTCATTATTCCGAAGGAAGCATTTTTTATATCAAGGATGCATTTTTTTTCACCTCCGTCCTGGGGAAACAGAGCTGTACAAAAGGTTTTTTCCCCCTTACCTGTTAATGGGACCGCAATTAAAGAAATAGCAGGACACTTGCTTTAGGATGCTTTTAGGCTGGGGACAGGTCGGGGCCCCTGTAGTCCGCTAGAAAACCGGCGAAGTTGGTTGATTAGTTGGCTAATTATAGCCACTGACAAAATGAAAACGGCAGGGCGTGTCTATCGAACACCGGTACCCCAGGAGACCCTCCATTCCATCCCACGCGCATGGAATTCGCCCGTACACTCGGTGTGCACGAAACGCTGAAACCATGTTTATGGTAAGAATCTTGCGCTGCAGGCGAGACAACTGAGCCTCCTCCTCGCCGTTCTCACCTTCTCAAAACCCATATATTTCTTCGTTTTTTTTCCCTTCTCGATACAAGGTTTTTAGAGATCAGGGGACAAAAACAGATACACTCTGCCTGACGAGGTCCAGTCACACCAACCAGGGTTGGCAAGAAATACCCTAAACGGTATTTAAAAATAGTTAACGGAATCGTGGAAGCTGGCTAAAATAGTTCCACACTTAAAACCTGGAAAATCATCACTAAGCCTGGATTCCTTCCGCCCTGTGAGTTTAACCAGTTGCGTCGGAAAGCTTCTCGAGAAGATCTTACATAACCGCTTACAGTGGTAGTTGGAAAGTAGTAAAGCGCTCCCCGAAGAAACAACAGGATTTCGTCCACGAAGACACACAAGGGATGGCATCCTAGACATCACCACCAGTGTAGAGTACGAACGAGAAAACGGAAACATTACAGTGTCAGTGTTGCCAGATATTCGTCGAGCATTCGTTACGGTTAGTCACGCTCATGTTCTTGAAGGACTTGTGCTTCTTGGTGAACATGAATGCATGCTACGCTGAATACAAGAGTTTCTTCGATGCAGGAACATCGCAGTGCATACAAATGATGGAGGTAGGACGCATTATGGACTCCACCATTTAGTACACCACGGTAGCGTGTGAAGCCCTACTCTTTTCAATGCTGTAATGGCGCAGTAACTGCAGAAACTCCAGCCACATTTGCGAACATCTATATATGCTGAAGATATTTGTATCTGGATATCTCGTTCGTCCCCAGACATTTGAAAGAATCAGTTACAAACAACCTTAAAACCTTAAAAAAAAAAGAATTTTGAGCAGGAGGAATGGAGTGGTCTGCCACAAAATTGGCGTTTATGTCATTTACCCGAAAAAAAGCTTTTTTGTTTTTAACTTAATGTAAAGGGAGACTTTATTCAGTAACTTCAATCGTAAAAGTTTCTTGGTGTCCTACTGGATCAATCTTTACTTGTTCCAGACATATAGATAGGCTGGAGAGGCGAATTAGTAGTGGAATGATTGTTTTTCGATGCATCGCGGGAGAAAGATGGGGAACTGCAATAGATTCAAGGCTCTTATTCTACACTGCACTAGCGAGACGACCGACTGCCTTTTCTATACCTGTGCTATTCAACACATCAGAGTCTCGCCTTACTTATTTGCAAGAAGTCTAAAAGTACGCTTAGGTCTTCCGCGAGCAACATCCAGTGCGATAGTACTCGCAACAGCCAACGAACCACCAGTAACTATTCTAAGAATGCAGGAAGTAATGTCGCATTAATTTTAGACTTTCTGCACGGCCCTTTTTTCTTGAATTTTTTTCCTGAAAGGGGATACATTTTCTTCAAAGATTAATATTTGTGCCCCTGTGAATTCCTGAAATAACGCCCTGGGTTCAGGACATTCGTAAGCCACCATGGACGCTACTATTACTAGACTGCAACATCAACCTTCCAGGCAGGGAAAGAAAGCATCGGTCAATACACACGTTGCAAGGACGTTGACTCTTTCATGTGTACAGCAAAAATAAAACCACTTGTATACCGACGGATCAACCAAGGATTAAGGATCAACATCAGAATGTGTGGCACCCTTTTTGAACCACTGGTCATCCTTTCGGTTGTTGCATCATACTTCTTCAAATACCGCAGAATTGCATGCTTTACCCGCGGCTGCAATGTACATAAAAATAGCTCAACAGCGAATTCCTGGGTAATATGTACCAACTCAAAGAAAGCATTAAGAAATAGGTTCGCGTAGCAGAGCGCGTTGGATGCAGTACACTTCACACGGAAGGAATGAGAGAGAGAGAAATTAGCATTTATTGAAAGGATGACAGCGAGCGGAAGGAATGAAAAGACTGAAAACATACGGTGGAAAAGACACACACACAGTTCTTTCAACGAGCAACCACATTTAAATGATGCCCATCACACTATGAAGAACCACTTTGATGAGAAAGAAAATGAAGTGAAAACGAAAATACAAGAAGATACTAGCAGAAGATAAAATTCAAGATAGCTGAATTTCACTTACCGAGAAGGAAAGAGAAGAAGAAAACTAGAGGAGACTTTTTCTATGACAACTCTGGCGTTAGGGATTCCATCTCTGGTGTCGATAACGAGAACGAAGGCTCGGAAACATTGTCTGTTGCAGTTTTGATCTTAAATGCTTCAATTATCTCTCGCCCATACTTGTACTTGTGTGAGCCAAGCACGGTACTGTTTTCAAGCGAGCAATCTTGGCAGGTGCGGGCATGAACAACAATTGAATTGTAGGAGTCGGATGACGCCTTTTTGACTTCGAGAAAGTGTTCCTTAACGCGAAGGTTCAAGCATCGTCCCGTCTGGTTGATGTATTGGCTGCCACAGCTGAGCGGAATAGAATAAATTGGCTTTTCTTGGCATTTAACGTATTTATTGGAGTGCTTGATGGTGCACTTTGGTGGTCGACTTTCGTTATTTGGCCTTTGGCACATCTGTTTTAGCTTCATCCTAGATGATTATCTTGTTATTCATCCTACCTCCATCTCTTCACGGGCCATTTGTGAAGCATTCGATTCCTGCTCGTCCAGTCTTAGGTTTTCGAGTGAAGAACCAACAGATGAGGAATTACAGTACCTGGATTTAAGACTTCATCTTCATCCTCAAGGCATAGGCTGGAGTTTCCAGCAACGATCCGAAAAAACCGGTCCTCTCTTTCGGCAGCAACCACACTAAGTCGGTAAAGCTTGGAATTATTCAAACCCTGTTTGCCTCTTCTTTTTCAATATCCTGTCCCCAACTCTCAACAGCAAGCGTCCAACATCAGCACAATCGCCTTCTCGAAGCCGGGTATCCAGCAGACCTCCTCCGTACTTCCCTTAATCATCTTATTACAGACCCTAAACATCATTCACCGAACAACAAAGGACACAGCCACACACGCCCGGCTTGTATTCCATACGTGCATAATACTGCCCATTTCCCGAAGAGTCTCGCTGTCTGGTTCGACAGGAAGGTGGTATTCACATGTAGGATGAAGCTAAAACAAATGTGCCAAAGGGTAAATAACGAAAGTCGTCCACCAGAATGCACCATCAAGAAACATGTAAAACAAAAAATAGGCGTCATATTTATAAAGAAGCTACATCAAAAACAAATCACTAAAAATACGTTGACAATCCTAAACATCATGATATGGGGAAGTAAATTGGCAAATTATATTTATTTTGTCGGACGCGTCATAGGATATCTTTGTACAGGTTTTTTTTAGGTTATAATCAAAAACATTGTTTCGTTATAGCTAAACAGTTTTTAGTAACCTTTTTTATTTTCAATTTTTGGGACACGATGAAATTGGAGACTTTGCGACATATTATAGTCTAGTCATTTCAACACAGACATTGTACAGTTAGAATAAACTCCCAAATGTCAATATTGAGGATTAAATGCTACCAAAACTGGAAAGAGACCACGTTTAGCGCGCAAATCAGGCCTTCGTGTTTACCACTGCAGCGTGCGTTCTCGCACTGTTTGCCAGGTGGGGCTGTTCTCGCTGAGGAACTGAGAGAACCACTTGCGGAATTCAAGAATCTTCATGTCCATAGGCTGCAGCGGTGGATGCTCGATGAGTGTTTTGGTGTTCATTATCGAGATGTCTCTTCGAAACTGAAAAGCAGAAAACAATGTTACACTTCTGTTGGCGATTTCGCGTGGGCAAATAATTCTTGGTAACACGAGCATTTTCTTGCCAGCCTATCACATTTTATGCTCTACTTCACCGTATGATGTACCGAAGGAAAGCCTTCAAACGGAGCTTCTTTCTCTAAGGCAGGTCTCGGCGGCACAAGCTCTTATGCAATAAGGTCATCTCCCAACGTTATGAGCTCGCGCTTGTCGCCTTCGCTGCGGTAAAACTTAAGGTGAGACGGAGTATAGTGCTGCGACTTTTCCTTAAACTTTTAGTGAAATGCGCTCGTAGCATGCATAATCTACGGTTTACGTCAGTGAAGCTCAAGCACGACATTTTTGCCACCCGAACATTAAACAGTTTGTCCACACCATTACACCACCCCATCGCAAGATGGATCTGGAGTCACGTTTATTTCGCTGCAACAATTATTTCCGTTACGTTGTCGACGTTACCATAGCTTCCACAGTGATAGAACCCCGAGCTCCCGTGAGAGCACATGGCTCTGTCTTGCGTGTCAGATTCGCGCAAGCTGTTCTTATATTGTTGAGAAGGAGGCCTCAGTAGGAGACACACATTTACGAACATAGTTTCGACAGTGTTCAAGCACTGCGGAAGCTATGCTAGCCTCGAAACCATAGCACAAACATGCAGACGCCAAGTATAGACCTTCTTTTGGTTTACTCATTTTCCCAGTCACCTGCTAGGCACATCCGGTATGGGTGACAAAAAACAATAAATCATTTCAACCTGCTAACAGTAAAAAAACTAGAGGTGAAGAAAAAAAGTGAATGGGTGACGGTTACGCTTAAATCCTAACTGCATTCTATTGGCGTGGCGACGGCAACAGAATGTTTTCGCCCACACTGGAACTCACGATATTTAAGATGGCCGTGTCTTCGTGAAAAAGGTCTTTTGATCGAGATATTTTCCGCGATTATTCCTTTTGGTCTCTGCTGATATGCACTGTAGTTAACCGCCTCCCCTCATGTGCCATGCATTCTCGCTTCTTTCGAAACGCGATGGAAGCACCCGGATACGCGTTATATCATCAGCTGCAAGTCCGCGTTGACAACATGTTGGGTTTATACGAAATCTGTAGATACTCTAATCTTAGATTAATTACACTAACGGAGACGTTATGGGGTTGAAGGTATTATAAACAATACGCAACGAAATTGCATATTTTATTGGGCACGACACTGAAACCTACAACAATTATACGAGAGCGCATTTATTTCATGAAAAAAAGCTTTTATACGGAGCCCGCGATTCACAAAAACGAGCCTATCAAAGCTTCATACGGCAAAAAGAAATAAGGCGCCGCAAAATACAGGGTTTCTCAAATAGCGGCCAGGCTATTTACAACGACCACAAAAATCGATTTCTTAACCTATTGCGTTAAGAGTTTGTGCAGCGTTGCTCACCAGGTGGTGCATTCTTGCTATAAAATTTGCAAAGAAAAAAGTTATCTAAGAAAAAAGTAAAAAAAAAAAGCTCAACTCCTATGTGAACACAGTGAAGCCACCGGTTTTCAAACAATAGGGCGCCCTATTGTTTGACGACCGGCGCCTTTGCCGCGTTTCCAAACAGATTAAGCCTTTTTTTTCTTCTTTTTTTCTCAGGTAAGTTTCCTCTTTGCAAATTTTATAGCGAAAAAGCACCACCTGTGGGAACGATGCCCAAAATCGTAGCGTCACAGGTTAAGAAGCCGATTTTGCCGGTTGAGTTAAAGAGCCTGGCCACTAATTAAAACACCCTCTAGTATCCCTAAAAACGCAGTACGAAAAATAGAACTGATAAACAGCCTTCACGCTGCTCATACATCATAAAAGACGGTCTTTAGCCACTGTCTGAAGGTGTGCTTCTTCCTTGTATAACATTAGTCAAACAAAAGCTGCGGCAAACATGTTTGAAACGTACATATGTATGAAGTAAACATACGTGTAACGTGCTGGGAGTGTGTCCGCAGAAAAATTCTGCCATTATATCTACAGAGAGCTCCGTGTCTTTTAAGCACGATGTATGGGAAGTGTGAGAGTAGATTTAGAGTCAGAACCAGACATGTGTACACGTTGCCCTCTCCAAAAATATTAACAATTTATGCCGTCGCTCGTTACTTGCTCAAAAGTAACTAAACGTGTTACTTGAATCTCATAAAGGAACGCGTTATTTCACCTTCAGAGTAACAAGTTACCGTTTTCGTTACTTTGACGACCAAGTACACGACAGCTTTTGTTTCACTATTTCTTTCGGTAATCGTTGCATTTCAGGAGCAACAAGTATTCATCGGTTGCGTTTCCCCGCTTCCTTGAGAATACATCTCCGACTACGCTAAAGAGTCGTCTCTACCGAGGCGCTCCACGGAAAAGCGGAGTTGTGCTTCAGGGAGAGCTGGTGAATCTAGGATTCCCCTCTTTTTTTGTTTTCTAGACATCTATAGTTCCAAGTTTACAATGGGGTTTGCGCCATCCCGTGTTGGCAACCTTCAGGGTTTAAATTTGACTGTACACAGTTCTAGAAGGATCAACCTTCTAGAAGGGCGAAGGACATTCCCGGCGGTAGAGTTCGACCGACTGCTTCAGGGATAAACGTTGTTTAGTTGTTTTTCGGGTTGCCTATCTGCCTTTGTCGCAGTAGGAGCATATTCAGGTTAGAGATAGAATGAAGTCATTTAAACGGTGCTATTGACAGTACTCCCCACAAGTAAGGAACTACAGTTACTCGTAAGTACGTTACTCGTTTTTTTCTTCTAAAAGTAACTAAATACCGTTACTCCTTACCAAAAAAAAAATAACTAGGTAGAAGTACCACGTCACTGGTAACGAGTTACGTACATATTTAGTCAGAACTCACATTCTCAATGCGAAACGCAAGTTGGTCTGCTTCCTGAATACGCGTTGTACATACGTCAGAACGCCGACCTCTGATTGGCTCTGCTTAGAAGGATAGTGGGTAGACCTCAATTCTAGCTGCCTTGATGTCTACCCACTATCCTTCTAGCCGAGCCAATCAGAGCTCGCCATTCTTACGTCACTGATACGAGAAGCAGACGAACTTACGCTCTGCATAAACTATAGTAGCTGACAGCTGATGAAACTCATGAACATTAATTATCATGCCCACACTCTTGGTTTGTTGTTTACTCTATTGCGTTATGATCTGCTAATGATAATTCCTCATCAATTGGCCAGCGCAAAATAAATGTGCGGGACTTATTTTGTTCTGCTTTTTTTTTCAGCGATTATACTCCATTACACAAAATTATCGAATTTCTGTAATGCGATTAAAAGGCGTGGGCTTCTGAGTTTTATAGCAACATGCTACGTTCAATTATCCGGAGTGTATTTGACCGCTCGCCAGGGTTCTTATTCAAAATAAATTTAGATCCTACCTGACTGATGTGAGCTTTGCTGAGGAAATACCGGAAGAACCACCAGGCATCCGGTTCAAAGTGCATCCTCTGAATGACGCGCATTTGTAGGGGCTCCTCGGGAAGTATCGCGATCACCGCCCTGGCGGTACCAAACTTGCTCCGAGCATGCTCCACTATCAAGGCCGGCCCAATGTTCTGTGTTTCCGCAATAGTACGGAGGACGGGCCACCGCTTGCCGAGTATCGACACCTGGGCATCGAATTCGTTGATACACCTGTGCGCCTCAATCCTGTTCTTGACTGTCCAATGGTTCATTGTAAAACGCGCCCAAAGGGTATCTCCACCGCTTTGTATAAATGCGTTGGGAGAAAGAAGGGAGTTTGGCTTGTGCAAGTGCTTCACGTGAGCCGTGTCGAAAGCATTTTCAATGAGGTCATGAATGTGGCAGCTGACTCTGTCTTCGTATCGGAAGAACAGCTTCCAGTCGCCTTTGGTGATCTGGGGAATGTCCTCGATGCGCCAGGACGGCTCTTCCCCTTCGGCGTGATGCCAGACAAACACGAATCCCAGCACCTCGTGGACTTCCCACTTCTTCAGTGTCACATACTCCGGAACTGCAAGGCGAAATAAAAAAACGAACATTGACTGAACTGGAGCTCGAACGTCCAAAAGCACGTGCGGACGTATCGTGGTATTATAGGGCGCTCCCAACATTTTTTTTTATAACTTTTATGACTAATACTATGTAAACGAAGAGAGAGAGAAATATTGTAGTAGCATGTAACGGAGTACCGATGTTTTGTGTGAAGCACCGTGAAGGACCTTCGTCCTCACTTACGTGTTCCGATCGCACAGGTTGATGCGGACAGGTTAAGCCGTACCTGGGCGGAAGTGGAGTATGCCACTGATAGAGCACACATTGAACTTTTTTAAATGTCTACGATAAAGCTTAGTGCTCCTTAACATTTTAGTGCAATCCACACCTTCCTACCTCTCTTGGTTTCCAAGCCTAATGGTCATTTATATTGTAAACATGCCCCGTCACCTCCAAATATCCCATTTGGTTATCGTAATGTATTTCGGATATTTGCCACGAGTACCTTGTACTATGACATCTTTCGAAAGTTTGGCCTTTGCTGAGTAATCCCTGCAGAATTGCGGACACAAGCGCAAGCTCCTGATGTTAGACTGCGCCCTGGCTGCACCACACCTAGTGTAGCGGGAGCAAGCGTGGGAGCTACCCGCTGACGCCAATTTAACATTCCGCAGTGTCAGAACGCGCAATAAATGTCGTATTTAAAAACTACTGCTGTCCAATCCCCCCTCCCTCCCCTCGGTTGGCGCAATAGTAAGCGTCGAGCTTACAGTCTTGTGGTTCTGGGTTCGATTACCCTTGAGGGACCTTCAGAGTTGTTGTTTTATCTTGTTTATTCATCCACCTGCGAGTCGCCTGCGCATGCGCGTTCGTTTCGCGTTACATAACACAGCAGTACTTTCCCGAGAGGCTGTCTAAAGAAATTTGATGGCATTTAAAAGCGCCGATTCCTTGTTCGTGGTAACAAGGTGTCTAGCAGACTGCGTAGGATCTCTCATTTTCGTTATCGTTAGGAAGGTGTAACTTGTTCCCTTACTTCTAAGTTTCTTTTTATATGTACGAGGAGCAATGAATTAATTACAATGAGCACGAGCACGAAATCAAGGTTTATTTTTAAATCCAATAGCATTTTTTTAAGCATTTCTTCCGAGCAACTAAAGGACGAGCACAGCTGATGATTTTAGTGTGTAGGACTCAATGCTGCGTCGGCACTTGTGAATTTCAGGGCGGATCCGTGCCGGCGGCGAGCGGATTTCGGAGCCGGGTGGCAAAATCCGCTCGTCATTAGCGGAAGACTTGGATCGTTCCGGGACCCATATCCAGGTTTTCCACCAGGGCCGAGTGGATTTTGCCGTGAGGCTCCAAAATCCGCTCGCCGCATGCGCACATCCGCCCGGGAATCTCCAAGTGTAAACACACCATAAGCAGGCATAGTTAGAAGCGCTACGTCATGGCTTTAGTAATCTTTCTCTACGTGTTGAATCATCTGTCAAACCAGTCAAGTCTAGTGAAGGCCAGATGACTTGCACTTTTAGTAAGCGTGCCGGTGTGTTTACCCCATTTCCACAAGACAGCAGCCACCTTGAATGTCGTCACTTGTGGTATCCGGTAAAACATCGTTTTGATCTCTTAACGCCGCTGAAGGTGTTCACAAAAAAAAATGCATGGTTGTCTCACATTTTTGTTGGCCTCACCTATATTTCCTCGCATATTCCGGGTTTAAATGTTTTATATTTTTTTTTCCTCAAGCATATACCAGACATGGAGCCCACGTGACCGAGAGCGATAGGAAGGAGAAAACGTCTATGTTTTCGAGCTCTTGGCTGGGCTCTATACTTTGATGCACCTTAATTCCGGACTCAGTTTACGCTACGATCTGATGGTACCAATCAGGCAGCGTCAAATGCTCATTATCATGGTGTTCGTCGTATTTCTGTACATATTCTGTCACAGCTGAACTAGCCATAAAGACAGACGGCTTAGTGACTTCCACTTTTGACGCTGCTTGATCGGTCCTATTAGCTTGTAGCGTCTGCTACGTCTGAACTTACGCTAAAATGAAGTATAGCTTACTGTTTGTGTACACTTGCGGATTCGTGGGTGTATCCGCACACGGATTTATCCACCGCCAGGCGTCAAGCTAAGTGCACTTCGCTTGCGACGAAATCGGCTCACCGTCGGAGGAATACTCGGCCGCGAGAGCAATCGGTTCGGGAAAAATTTTTCCCTTGTGGAAAAATTTGCCGTGCCACCGCAGCCATTCGAAACGCGAGGAAACAATGGCGTTTGCGGATGTCACATTTTTATATTGCAGCTCTTCTATCAAATACGAATTGCTAAAGAGTCTGACGGGTTAAAAGGGCTGTGGGGCTAAAGTGTTTTTCTATGTGGTATCCTTGAAGGGTTTCTCTGTAGGGTATTTCTGAACGGTTTTAAAGGCCTGTGAGGTCCCATAATCCTTCAAGTCTGATGGGCCCTTTAGAATTATTTTCAATAGGGATGGAAGCGTACTGAGGGATAGGTGAGTCCTTAAGGTCAAGTGACCTCAGGGGCTGGTCGTGTGACGTCAGGGGGGTCACGTGACTTCGGGGGGATGGGGGTCACGTGACCTCGGGAGTCGCGTGACCTCGGGGGTTACGTGGCCTCGGGAGGTCACGTGACCTCGCGGTTACTGCGACGGCGACGCCGACGCCGACGCCACTGAAGCCGGAAACAGGCCCCTAAAAGCTGCGCTCTAAAAACGACACTAACTGAGAGCACAATATTCAGGTGTGTGTCATGCTGAATGAACTTAGTTGCTAGCATTATATTATTCTGTGTGTTGTCACCGCTGATGTAAAGTGATAAGATTCTTTAGCATGTTTAGGCCGGGCACTTCTGTCCAGTATTTCCTTTTTTGATATTCTCCCCTCATTGTCATCCGTTCACTTCTTGGAATTCTCAACTATGTAATGCCCGAAAGTACCCTTAAAACAAAGAATTAAAGGAATACGCTCTAAACAGTAGGTAAGTGGTAAACTTGCTGCATTTTAAAACTGAAACGCTGATGTGCAATGCAGCAACAGCGTGACCACTGCTTTAGACTGAGACGACTTTGATTTGCGAAAGCTTTCTTAACATTGTTTTAGATTATCTAAACTTCGGTGAATAATTCTTTCTTGATTATCGTTACGCTGAACGAGGAATCTTCGAATTTTACACCTCAGAGGCTCCAACCCAAAGAGCCTGCCTATATATCCCCAGTCGATGGGTTCAAATCCCAGCCGAGCTGCCCCCAGTCTGACGGAGGTGTATAGTGTCGAATACGCCGCGTAACAGAGATTTTAGTTGGGCGTCAAAATAAATCCAGTTTGTCAAACTTAACGCTGGTTCAGACATCCGCAACGAGCGTGTTATCTACGAATACGCCTGAATCGGGACCGGAACGGCCGCTCTGCGCCGCGCATACACACACCTGCAACCACTGCATCATGCGCAGCGAGTCGTCAGCACGGCGACCGCTTCTACGACGCCGTCAGCTGTTTCAGCGGTGCCTCTAGAAAGATGGAGACGCGCTGCCACTCAATGCCGTAACAGAAAGTAGAGTTTTCTATAGACCTGTCCAACAAACGCCTTCTGCGAGCTGCCATCTTTTCTTACTGGACTGTTAAACGCCTTCTGAGCACGCGCAATAGCGCCTCTTGCGAAACAAATCGTACGCCGCGCCTGCGTAACAGTCCAGTGACTCGACATTTTTCGCCTGGGCGATAAGTGATGAAAAGTCTATAGCCTGAACCTTTATTTTTTTTTTTTTTAGGATAAGCTTGTAGTGTCGAGTGGATACAAAAAAAAATAAAAAAAAATGCTGTACGCCGTCTGGTTTATCACGATCTTAATACACGACTTTGCCAAAAGTACAAATCTTGCCACACGCCTTTCTATGATTACAAATGACGATGCAATTTTAGCAGTGATATAGCAACGTGGAAATATGATTTCGTGGTCACATAGACGATGTGAGCGTTCAGGACTGCTAACAAGAATCCTTTTTCTGGGGTGATGAGAACGCGTGAAAATTCGCATCTTTAATACGGTACGCGCCAGTAGTACCTTGAACTTGAACATACGCATGGCATGTTCAAAACAAGGAATTGGGGCAGTATTCGAGGGCGCAAATGCTAAGGAAGCACCACTTTATACGAAGTAAACAAACACGACGGCACGGGCATTTCTGCTGTCTTGAGAGTGCCGTCACGACATTGTCGCACGATATAGATGGATCTTCCCTTCTAGTAAGTGCTGAGCTATCACAGCGACACACGCCGAAAATTCACAGTCAAGGATAGCGCTTTTACGCGGAACGATGAGCTTCCATTACGCTGACCACATCGACGATCAGCACCAACGCCATATTTGCAGATAGAAGGAACCGCGACCCGCACGACCGGCATGCAACGCGCGCGGCCGAGCTCTCATCGACCTGTGATTGGTCTGTCGGTGCGGTCGCTCCTTTCGTTGCCGAACGTAGCGAAAAAATTCAGCCCGAGTCAACACCTTAACGTTACGAACAGGAACGAGACGGCGCTTTGGCCTTTCGTTGCTATGGCAATTCGTTGTTCCAGCCCGTTGCATTCGTTCGTAAGCGTAGTGCTCGCTCCTAACGGAAGTGTATGAACGGCCCTTTAGTCCCCGGTTCCGAATACCCCTTGCCCTTCGTTTGTTCGGCAGGTTAAGATTTCCAAATTTGCCTTTATCTTTTGGCACTGTGCACACAGCAGGTTTGTGGCATTTTATCATCAACTGCATGCGGTCTGGCGTCGTGTACGCTCGAGGAGGAAAAGGAATGAAGTACGGAGGGGAGGAAAGGAGAAGGGGGTGAGGAGGAAACTGGGGGAGGGCCCCCGGAAAATTTGTTGTGGAAAAAAAAGAAGGGGAGTCGCGGTCGGGGAGGTACCTTAGCAATATTTTTGTGGGTAGTTTGTTGTTGGGAAACAGACGGACAACTTTCAGAACAGGAGCAATAAGTGTGCGCTTTTCACATTAGGACTATTTTTCAGGTTTTCAAGAACGTACTAGATTAATGGTTTTGATTTCGTACAGCTGCTTTCTTAGCATTTAGAATTGGGGTTGTTTTGTTTCTAAATTTCACAATATGAATTATAGTATTTTTTTTCTTGGGACTGGGTCCAATCCTGGGTAAAAATCTTTTTTTCAAACTATTTCAAAGGGGCTGTTCCTATTCCGGTTAAAAATCGTCGCGGTACGCTCAGCCGATGGTATTAAAATATTAACCCAATTAATTATCTGTGACAATAAGACGCCAGCGTTTAGTCAAAGATCCAAAAACAGAGTTTCTAAATGTGCTAGAACGCCCTAAGCACGTGAAAAGAAAATATCGCATTTCAAATCGCCTACCCTGACAACAAGGTACCCACGAAAAATCGCCCGGGGGTGACCCCAACCCCTTGTCCTCCCCCCCCCCCCCCTTTTTTTTTTTACAAGAAGCCTTTGGGGGCATTTCTCGGCCCTTCCCCTATTTCCTCCTCACCCCCTTCCTTCTCCTCTCTCTCTATTCCCCCTCGCCTTCCTACTTTCCTTCCCCCAATCCTCCTCTCCCTCCTCGTTTACTCCTCCTCCTCGAGCAGAGTGCAACGCACTCCGTTTCACCTTCAGTCCGAGCGCAGTGGACGCCACGAGCCATCCCAGCCGATCCAGCGCCGGGAGAAAGTCGCGTGACCTGCCGGTGGGGCGGGGCGACACAGGGAGCTCAAGGTCGCATGACACTCCCTCAACGCCGCATTGGCTGGGATGGCTCCTAGCGTCCGCTGTGCTCGGACGGAAGGTGAAACGGAGTATAGACGAATCTGTACACCTGCCGGTAATATTTGTTCCGTTCAGCTTGCACAGCAAGTACTCCTAGACTCACCTTTAGGCGCGAAAGGTGCGTGAGTGCAGGCCCCCGTCGTGCCGCTGAACCTCCAGCCGTGGTAAGGGCACTCGATGCAGTCTCCCACCACGCGGCCCACGGCGCCAAGGTGGGCGCCCAGGTGCGGGCAGTAGGCGTCGGCTACGCAGGCAACGCCGTCTCTGGTCCGGAATGCCACCAGCTCCAAGCCTGGGATCAACGCGCAATCTTTTACGTCGCCTTAATTCGAACGCAATACATATAGAAAAAAGCACTAGGAAGCAAACGACTAGGCTATTTATTAAAGTAATGCAAAGTAATGTGTTACTAGAGGAAACATGTTGACTTCATCGAAGTGATTTGTTATCTGTCCAGGCGAGCCCAGGTGCCCCAAAAGGCTAATTTCTTTTTCACGTGAAGTCGTCCCCCTTTGAAAACCTTCGGTTAAAATATACTACATTATCATAGCTGAATTTTTTTTTCCGGTGCGTGTGCAAGGTTGTAGTGTTGTAGAGTTGCCACTCCGGATTTCGAATGATTCCGGAACCTTACTGCAAATTCGCGACCCCGGAATGCAATGGGAATGTAATGGTGGCAGCCCTTTGGGAGTGTAATGGGAATGGAATTAGATGCTTTTTGCCCGGAATGGAGTGATGATGTACTGGGCAGGGTTGTTATGCGAGATGTGTCAATTTTCCCATAGTGCCTATGGGCTAATAGCGCAGTTCGCAAGCACATGGTAAGTGGTTCTTGAAACAGCATCATTATACTGGAGGTGAAAGACGATTCGGTGGTCTAACTGGCTTATCCTCCTTCGAGGGTAAAAATTGTGCGCCCTCAATGAAGCCATCCAAACTAAATAGTTGTAGACAAACAAGAGGTCGTCCCTGGCCCCGCGAGACGTGACGAAGCGCCTGTTGTATTCACGTGAAAGTAGCATGTAGTTTTTAACCAAGGTGCCGAACCGAGCTAGTACCGAAAACCAGAGCAAAGCCGTTATTATCACGATAGCGTCAAAGAGCTGGTGCTACAAAAAATCCGGCGTCGGCGTCAATGTCGCGGTCAGCGTCGGCGTCGGTGGGACTCGAAAACCCTCACGAATGTCAGGCAACAATAGATATAAAGGAATTCGCGAAGATCTCGACTTCGACGAGTAAGAGTGCCAAACTGTGGTTCGTGTGAGAGTGTCTGTGTAGTGAGTGAGTGAGACTCTCAATGCCCGTGAACGTCGAAAAAACACGTGAACAAGAAACTTTGTAATGAGTACAGAGCATTGAAATAGTGCTGCAGAATGTGAAGATCACGTGTCAGAACAACTAGTGAAAAGAAAATTGTACCGTGGACAAATAAAAGGAGGTTGCGTCACGTAAACTAGATCGTTGTGTGACTCCGGAGCAGGAGAAGGGAATGAGAAGGCGATGGGAACGGTGCCTGATATTTCTATCTCTTTCTATTCTTAAAAGCGAATCTTAAGCGTCCTCCAATTTTTTTTTTTTAACTGGACCGGAAATTTTTTTTTTTTTTTTTTTCTGCCGAAGTCAAACACTTAATGTCGGAATGGAACCATAATCTCACCTGGCTGCTACCGGTGCAATGGAGACGGTTCGACGTAATAAAATATGAGCCGCACCTTTTTGTGGGTGGGGGCGCGAAATTAATTAAATATTTCCGATGGTGGCGTCAGCGGCTCGGTTTTGACTAAACAAACGGCACGACGACATGGAGACAGCTCAATAATAGGGAAACAAAACAATGAAAGCCGTTTACAACTCTTTGTAACGCCGAATTAGAGAGCAGCTCTTGAGGAGGAGGAGGGAAGGGTACTGGGGGTCACGTGTTCTCGGAGGGGGGGGGGGGGAGGTCATGTGATCTGGGGGTGTGGTCACGTGACCTTGGGGGTCACGGGACCCCCAGGTGACGTGATCCCCCAGACGAAGTTTTCCGCTAGATTTAGCGGGGAAATTTTTCCGCTAGATTTAGCGGGGAAATTTTTCCGCTAGATCTAGCGGGGAAATTTTTGCGCTAGAATTAGCGGGAACATTTTTCCGCTAGGTCTAGCGGGGAAATTTTTCCGCTGGATTTAGCGGGGAAATTTATCCGCTAGATTTAATGGGGAAATTTACCCATAATGCACCGCGCGGTTACGCCGACGGCGACGCCGCTCAAGCCGGAAACGGGCGCCTGAGAGCTGCGCTCTAAAAAGTAAATTTCCCGCTTGCGTACACCACGAATTGCCGTCGGCAAGTCGGCGTGGAGGCGTACACTTCTATACCTTTTTTCACGTTACGATCGACAGCCAAAGACGCCACGAACCGCCGGAGCAAATCCATAGCTCGGAAGGTGTCACGTGTCATTCCGGTTGGGCAGAGCGACGCGGGGAAAACGAAGTCTTAAGGCAAGCTACGAACTATGAAATGGCTTGTGTAGCATGGTAGCGCCCATCGCGGTACATCGTAAGGTAAACCGGAATATATCTTACAATGCCGGGATGTCAAATAGCTATTCTTTGGGTGGGGGTGTCTATTTTATTTTCTTCCTGCTAAACAGTATTCCTCAAAGAAGCAGAAAGACAACACAAACACCAAAAGAAAAACAAAAAAAAGGGAAGGGTTTCGGCGCTTTCGTTTCGCTTTGGCGAAATCTGGAAGTGCCATGAGACGAAGCCGCGACAAGCGCGACAGTGCGGCGTCGGTCGCCGGAAGGCCAGTCGCCTAGAGCCCTGGACACTGCTTCAAGAAGGTTTATTTTCTGTGTGTTTTTATAAAAACAGCACGTTGTCCATGGTCTGTTTATATACTTTGTTTCCAATCGTTTTTCGACAGGGTTTAGTTGTCTTTCTCCTTTTGAACTCAGTCATTCGAGGAAGTCGTTCGGGCGTGAGGTGTGGGTAGTTTGCCGTTTCGATCTGGGTGTGCATCGCAAAGTGGGCCGTCGTGTATCAGTATACTGCGTGATGACAAGTGCTGATTGTTGGGCAAGTTGGTATGGTAAGTTAGAAAACATGATTGCGCTTTGAAGACAGGGACATAGGAGGAACAGACACCACATAGCTCTTTAAAGACAGGGACATAGGAGGAGCAGACACCACAGAGGCACAAAGATAAGACTGTTAGAGAGATTATGGAGGCTGACGCTATAAATAGTTCCGGCACGTGTTGTGTCAGTGTGGTGTCAATTGACTTGGCGGATAAGGAGTTAGCGTACTTGCGGTCCATGGCGGCCACGGATTGGTTGAGGTGTGGTGTGGTGACGCAGTGTGTTTCTACTCTGGGGCTCTTCAATTAAATCAGTTGAAAGTTAGCGCGTTATGGTGTCTGTTCCTCTTATGTCCCTCTCTTCAAAGCGCAATCATGTTTTCTAACGTGCTGCGTGATGACCGCTAAAAATCCGAGGCTAGGAGTTGACTGAATGGGCCACTCATCTAGAGTGGCTAACAATGTTATCATACTCTGGCAGACCAAACTCCTGCTGTCTAAACAACTAACGACTTACTTGTTTTTATGGGTAATTTGCGAGTACGGTGCGTGCAACTATCATGGTGTCACTGTGCTTGCTGGCCGACTGCCTCCACATGTGAGTGCTACACTTTGGTACTGTTTCCACGCGTCTGTACAACCGCGTAATTTTCATACAACGATGTTTGCGTTAAAATAGAAGCTGACAAGACGAAATTAAGGATATATTTGTTTTCCTGTGCTCATTTCCGCAGCACGGCTTCTGATGAATCTGTGGGGGGTATAGGGACCGTTTGCGATGAAATTGGGCGCTTTTAATTTTTGGCGTCTGTTGCAACTCTCAAGCCTCTTACGCTTTATCGCAAGATCGATGTCTGTAGTGTCACCAATCAACACGTCCTAGATAACAAAGATGTAGTGCTGAATGAGATGGGCGTGATCAGAGAAGGCCAATGCTAGGCACAGATTGGACACGACTATAGCGTAAACGTTTGGCTCAATCGTGACTCGAAACCGAGCTCTGAGGCAGCACTCGTCTCCAATCTGAGTCCAGCGTTGGCCTTTAATGACATCATCTCATTCAGCACTCCGGCTTTGTTACCTAGGAGGTGTCGCATCAAGTGCCACGAAAGGCCTTGTGCGATCACCCTTCGCCTAAGTAGAATGAGTGCTTAAGCTTTTGGAAACATTTGCAGTCGGCTCCGTGTTTAATAAGATCAGCAACTTTATGCTTTTTTTTTTTTTAGTAAGAAATGTGGCTGTCAACGGCCATTTTTTCACGTACACAAATTAGAGGAATGGAATTGTGAAGTTGAGCCGTTCCAGCAGTGAAAATAGGCCCAGTGGCTCTGTTGCAAGGAGGGGAAAGGATTGGCATTGTCGGAAATTTTTATTCTCTGGAATGGTGTTGCAAAGGAATATAGATGTCCATGACGCAACACTGAGGCCCAGTTTTTCCCTTCGCGGTGCGCATCATATTTTCTTATTCAGACAGGTATTGAATAAAGGTGAGGCGCAGTTCTGATAAATGAACTGCTTATCCTCCCACTCATCCAGGTCATTGCTCTTCCCGACAATGTTTGACTGATTGTCACGGGTGGCCACCCAATAAAATTCTGTGTCAATATTTCTCGCCGTCTGCGAAATGCTTCGACTCAGTTACTCGGGCCCTATTCACAACCATTGGTACACAGCAAGAGGTTCCATCTTCTATCTGTGCGGTTCTTACCTTTCTTTAGGTAAGTGTTTATTCTGTATTATGTTGTGCCCTTTCGTAGGCAAAATAATATGTTGTTGTTTTTTGGTAAGGAAACATATTCCCACAAAATATGAGTTCGATATATATGCTATGTGCCACACAAAATTATTTGTGTGAACTGTTTACTGGCATTCCGTTATTCGCGTATTTATAAACATTCCCTTTTTATGATCAAAACGTACACATGAACACCATGGGGCAATATGTGGGCATTTAAGGTGGTTGCGTCTATACCCCCGAAGTTGCCGAAATAAGAGATCGTGTGAGTTCTTTCCGCTGAATAAAAATAAATAACTTAGAAAGAGAAACAATATGAGAAAATTATTTATTTAGATCTGTTTCATTAAAGTTTTCCGGTATCTTGGCCCTTTTACGCATTTTATGTAAGCGGAGATGCCGAAGAGCACTATAAGACGATCATACTGATGATTTTTTAATTAGGCTCATGAAGAAGTTCAAAATGTAGATTAATCCACCAAAACATTCGTGATTAGATAAATATTTAAAAAACGCCTCGTCCTAAAAAAATACATATATTTAATCCCCGCAATGGCAGTTTTACGAGTGCAGGTCCAAAGACAGTTTTGACCTGAACTAGCACAACACCACCTTGGATAACCAGTGCGTGTGTACTAGAATTGTGACGCCATCACAGTGAGATTGAGCGAAGACACTGATTGAACACAAGGGCTGCGTCAGCGCTCGGCTGGGCCTCGTGTCCAGTTAACGCGTCGATGGACACTCGGCATTAGGTTCGGGTCCAATCGCCGAGTTGTCGCCATCAAACTGTGACGACGTTCCATGGTGGAAGTGGAAGATGTTTGCAGGCCTTGATTATTATAGGTGGCATTGACTAGCGACAGAAACTCTAAAAATTGAGCGTCACTCACCGAGAAGGTCTATTCGTTTGACATCCTCCTTTCCGAGCTCAGACGATTCCAACACCGGGATCCATCCATTGGGAAAGACAGGAATTAGATCTTGGCGGGGATACCTCTTCTTAGACAGGCCAAGCTGTGTGTGATTTTATAGATGTATAAAAAAAACGCTATGTATATGTCTTACACACTAAGATGCATGTTGAGAAAAGTTGTAAACTATCTTGTGTTTATAAATTCGCATACTTGTTTTGGGTTATTTCATGTCATTTTTGTTTTACTCGGGTTAGAATTATCAGCTATGGGTTGGGCACGAAGTATTCCATTCAGTCAAGTTTTATTAGCTCGAAGGCGCTTTAAAAAGAACTCTCGAGCGCTTGAAACGAGGGGGATAACTATTGCATTAATTGCACAACATAAAAACACAAACAAAAATTGATTAAAAATCACACTGTACACACTTGACAAACCGTTTTTACACATGTCACGGAATTTCTTTTTTCTTTCTTATTCTGTTTCTCGGACAATGCATGCATAAGCAAGATCTGAGTGGCGCGATGGCGACCATCAGTTGAAGAAAAGATTGGCTGGCCAAGTAGCAGGCTTGTGGCTTATCAAAGACGCAATAGGGTCCTAGGTATCCTTTTAGAATTTTTTTCAGCTTTACCATGCTACCGAGCAGGAATCTAGACCCATACAAGATCACCAGGAGTGTAGCATGTGTTTATATGACGCAGATCGTAGATCATTTTCGCTCTGTGTTGCTGCCTAGCCGTGCTATGGTGCCTTGAACGCGTCTTCGACTGGTGTGTTTACCGCGTCCAAAAAAGTGGTCCTCTATTTACGCCTGGTGATGTCAACAAAATGTCATGCTGTCGCCGGTCGCGATCCTGGCGGCGTCCCAACAGCTGTGGGGTAGGTGGCAGATGCCTGTTCCGCTGCAGGTCGCTTTCCAGTGTGGCAGTCCACGGAAGCTTGGGCAGCCAGAAGTTGGGACGCCGTGACGACAGCGACACTCGCGTTCGCTTGTGCTACTCGCACTTTCTCGTTAGCATTTCTACGACCAACCAGCAGGATCGCGACATGCAACATCATGACACTTCAGCTTCTGTGACGTCATTTGTTGCCCTTGAGGACCAGTTCTTTATATATGGGCGCCATAGGACGGTAAACACACCAGTCGAAGACGCACTCCAGGCACCATAGCCGTGCGAAGATGGGCGAGCTGGCGGCGTCGGGCCTCGGTATCACAAGAGGGGAAATTTAAAAGAAGGTCATTAGAGTCCGTGTCGAAATGTGGTGTCCAATTGTACACACCACTTCGCGAGCGTAAACAAGGTGGAAAGGAGAATAGACACACTTTGCAATGCTGTGTTGTTCTTTATCTTTATTCTTTCTTTCTTGTGTCTAGAAACAGCCGAAGCCTGAATGCTGGTACACACAAATACACTGTACAAAAAGGAAACACAAAAACATTGATCCTAACAAAGCTGAATGCTTAGGGTATTTTTAAACGAGCGTTCACTGTTTAGGATATCAATCTTCGCGCTGAGTATATTAAAACTATTTGGAATGCGCCACATGGGGGAAAGTGAACAAAACTCTTGCACATAGAACGTGTTGGGGTAGCGACTGCTCACGCGTGAAACGGATAAAGAGAGCAGAGACGCAAGTTTAGAACAACTTAAAGTTCCATGCACAGCTTTGTGCAAAAATGCATAATCTCGAAAATTTCGCCGAGCTACTAATGTCTGCGAATTCATCCTGTGTAACATAGACTCGTGACTAAAAATATCCGGCGACCGTAATAACGGTCGTACACAATGCGTGCCAGCTTCCTAGGAACATGTTCTAACCTCTCAGAGCCTGCCACACTCAAACAGTTCCAGACTACGGAACAGAACTCCAGTTTTGAACGCACAAAAGAGGTGTAAAACCTGACAAGACACGATGGCTCCTTGAAATCGCGGGTTATTCTCGCAAACAAACCTAAAATACGAAAGCATGAACTCACCAAATTTGACAAATGTGCATCAAAACTGAGTGAGGGTGGAATCCACATAGACGCCCAAATCCCGCACACAGTCCACTCGACGTAATGTTTTATTATTTAGCTTATACAAAACATTGAGAGCATATTTTTTGCGTGATAAAGAAATGACAAGCGTTTTTTTCTGATTTAAACCTAAGTTTTGCATCTCGCACGTCGCATCATAACGAGATTGCAGATATGTCTTTTTATAAGATTTCGCAATCAGCATCCGATTTGATATGTCTGTAGATCTTAATGTCATCGGCGAACTGGAGCAATTTGAAATGTTTTACACAAAGATAAATGTCATTAACAAAACTATTAAATAGCACAGGTCCCAGAGTTGAACCCTGGGGAACACCAGGAGGACATATGTATGATCTCGGTTACTTACCGCTAACACGAACTCTGTTATTGCGCCCAGTCAGGTATGTTTTGAACCACAGACATGATAGCAAAGACACTCCATATAGTGACAGTTTGTAAAGTAAGAGTTCATGATGCACAGGGCCAAATGCCTTGCTCAGGTCAAAATAAATGGCGTCGACCTGACCATGGTTGGCGACGATACGACCAAGGCAATTAAAATAGTCGGCCAAGTTTGTTTCTACAGACCTAGACCTAAGAAAACCATGTTGTGATAAGTTGTGATAAGTTTAAAATTTATTTAAAATGAAATGTCTTGAAAGTTGCATTTCTACTACGCTCTCCAAAAAGCTTTGAAAATGACGAGAGTATTGACACAGGTTTATAGTTTGCAACATCTGAGGAGTTCTCTGATTTTAAAATTGGCACTACAACTGCTGACTTCCATTTTTTTGGGAAAATGCAATTTTTAAGTGACAAAAAATAAAAATGTAAGTCAAGACAGGCACAAAAGCATCCAAACAGCCTTGAACAATACATGAAGGTATGGCATCAAAACCGGACGAAAGTTTTGGTTTCAGATGTCTAACGGATTTTCCACTGCTGCATGATCAGTGCTGAAAGGGCCGAGGACGCTATCAGTGTTCGCCAAGTCAGCACCGTTAAGCGCCTGTGCACGTGAGTTTGTAGATTGTGTATCATGGATAAAGACGGCTGAAAAGTATGACGCAAACAACTCACATACAAGAACGAGGTCTGAGTGAAAACCGGTATCATTCGTCAACGTAACGTTCCTTGCTCCCGTTTCCAGTGCATCTCTTTTATAATTTCACACAATGTTAGAATTATTTAATTAGTCATTCTAAGCATTGTTCCTAAAATAGTTATTTTTTCTCTTTGATAAATAAAGTTTACATCTGCCCTCGCACGACTGAATTTGTATTGACGATGAAACCGAGATTTTTCTTTCATTTTGCGCTTCAGTTCATATAAAAACCACCATGGATACCTCTGCAGTTTATTTTTCTTCAGCTGAATAATACGCTGTGCACCATCAGTTGCAAGCTGGATAAAAGCGTCACAAGCTGAATTTACGTCAGGGTGAGTTAAAACTGAAGACCAGACCAGGTTTGCGAATAAATGGTAAAGACCCAGATAATCTCTCCGCCTAAAGTCAAAAGACAGAGTTGCCCGTAGGCTTAAACTGAAAAAGCAACCTTACAGTTTCTACAAACGGCTCGTGCCAAACATCTATTGGAACCACTGGAGCGTCAGCTGACGAAATTACAGCGTCCATATAATTAGTAACACACAGGTCTAATATTTTACCCGCTGGGTTTTTCAAACTGTTTATCTGCGAAAGGTAGTTAAACTTCAGAGAGTCAAGTAGCACACCGGCCTTTGTTGTCGACTCAAGATCCTGTAACCTACATGCTGGGATCCCCAGATGACACCAGGAAGATTAAAATCTGTATGCAAACATTACAAAGGGTACAAAAGTATTCAAGTTAAGCGCCGTTCACACATTTGAAACCGAGTAGAACCGAGGGAGAAAAAAAATTAAGTTTAAGTCACCTGCGACGGCGTAGGACCGGATGTGCTTCTGTGAGGAAGGAACTACGCCTTCGAAAGCAGATTAAAACCGGTCTTGTCTCTCTCGGTCCTACGCGGTTACAAGTGTGTGGACGGCGCTTTTGTTTTGTCAGTGAAGACGTACGGTGCCTGAAAATGATATTGGAGATTGATTTGTGGAACCGCTCGGTTAGACCGTTATTTGACACATGCTTCTTCTAGCAAGCGCGCCCGTGGCCGAATGATTATCGTGCTTGGCTCCCACGCAAAGGGCCGAGGTTGGATGCCTTGGAGCGGACACGCCTGTTGGTTATAGACCCTTTTCGAAAATCACGTGCCGATGATTACAAGATCGGAACCCCTTCATAATAGTGGAAGAACGGATCAAGGAACATGCAAGTCATTCCGTAAGATAGCGAACGTCGGAGCGCGGCAAACGCTAGGAGCCGGCGAGCCAACCAAACAGCTTCGAAACATCAACGTCATTGTGCTCATCATCTTTTGATCCAACCAAACGCATAAATTGCACCGTTTACTCCGCCATTTTGCAGGGATTCCACAGCTGCTAACAGTGAGCAGTCTTTCGAAAGGGCAGCGTTCTGGTGAATTCGAAAGCCCTGTTGTTTATTCGAGTGTCGAATGATCTACGCGTTGAAGCTTTTACGTAGAATGTTCCAGAAGCCCACGCGGGTACGTTAGGAGCTCTGCGTGGCGAAGCGGAGACAATCTCGCCCCAGTGTTCGGTCCCGCTGTTACGCGGCCATCGATACCTGCGACGCTAGCCTTTTTCTGTATTGCTTGGAGCACAAGTTCGCCCCATTAAGCGTTTAGTTTCCGTCAGTCATTCGATACATCATCAATTTTCCTTCGTAACAGTGAAGGAGGTGGTCTTTTGAATGACGTTACAGCCTGTCAGAATAGTTGTGATTGTCATGGTCACAGTTCATAGGCAGTTTTCGTAGACCGTTTTCCCAAGTCCGCTACGCTCTCCGGAACGAAAACGTCATAACTACGTGTGCGCAGTGCTAGCCTTGCCTGCAGAGTCATGGATCTCGTAGCGGGTGGCGGTGGACGTTACGGAACAGCGAAAACGATCTACGGAAACTCCCTATTCTGGCAGCCTCACACGATATGCTGATTAAAAACGCACAAAAACAAAGCAAAAAAAAAAAGTTAGGAATTTACTGTAATGCCGACTTAGAGCCTAGCTCTTCAGAAGAAGGAGGGGAGGGTATGCCCCTTCTCTGCTTCGTACCTACTCTTCATCCTCCCCTCCCATTTAGCGGTAAATTTTCGATAAATTTCCCACTAAACTTAGCTAAAGGTTTCCCGCTAAATTTAGCGGGGAAATGTTTAATAACGCAACGCGCAGTTACGCAGACGCCAACGCCGTCGGCGACGCCGTCCAACCCAGAGCCGTCGCCTAAAAGCTGCACTCTAGAAGAAAAACGCACGAAAAACAAAAACTCTATCGTGCGTGTCTGTTTTTTTTTTTTTTTTTTGTCATCGTTTTTGTGTTTCTTTTATCCCATATGAACAGCTAAGCTCGTCATGCTGTCCTGGTGTCGTTCTTGCAGATAAGCACCGATGGTGGAGGTCACTGGATCAATAAAGGTTAGTTTTAAAAAGCATCGAACACTATTGGTCCCTTGAATGCACGTTCCCTGCTACAGGCCTTCATAAGATGCAATTTTTGTCTAAATCCAAAACTATCATTACGTTCAGCAGATTTTTATACACATGTCTCCTGTGCCTCTAGGAACGTGATATAGAATCGTAACGCTGGCAAAAGTTGGAAAATCCCGACGGGAAATTGCGCCGACATTTCGTTGCGCGGTAAAAACCGTCACCCGGCTTCGTGATTTTTGCGATGAAGGATACATTGATGGTGCACTACATCCACGTCGACCAATATCTGCAACCGCAGAGGAAGATCAGTGTATCATTGCGGCGGTTGTTGACAGCCCGACAATCGCCATCAAAGAGATCTGTCAGGATCTAAGACATCGGGTGAGTGAGAAAACAATAGAGGTCTATTCACACACTTGCAATCACTCCAACGGAGTGCGTGGGTTGCTATAGCAACAGCTGCGTCGGGTCCAACAAAACTGAGTAAAAAGCGTTTTTTTTTTGTTTTTTTTTTTTGTTCCGACGTAGTTGTTTCTATAGCACCTTTCGGATTCCGTTGGAGTGATCGCAAGTGTGTGAATCGCCCTTAAGAAAACGGGTCCGAC